GATAACAAAGGAGAATATACATAACATTCATTACAAAAATGGTAAAATAAATGAGAAAATACAAAGTATAGGTAAAACCCATTTTTTGAAGCTTGGCTTTGATTTTCCCAAATACTTCTCAAAATCTTTGATTGAATCTCCTTGTGCTCTTTTATTTAATCTCCAAAATCCCAAGCAAAAATGAAAAGAAAAAGAAAAGAAGAGAAAATGAAGGAAGAAAGAAAGAAGAGAAAGAAAAGAAAAGAAAATGGAAGAAGAAGAAGAAGAAGAAAAGAGATAAAAAACTCTCAAACTCTATCTAAAGACTCTCTACAAACTCTCTCCTAGGGTTTGAGTCATGAAATTTGCTCTCTAAATACTCCAAAAACCGAGCACAAAGAAGAGCCCAAAATGCCCACAAGATTTCTAATTTTCAGGAATTTTTAACGCACAAGTGTGCGGGTGCGCACCATTCCAGAAGTGAAGTGCGCGGGTGCGCACTTTTGATGAAATCACAAATTGCGTAGGAGGTCCTCAGGATAATTTGCACAGTTAGTCCCTCAACTTTGATAAGTGACATTTTGGTCGTCGGATTTTGACTTTTATATCAATTATGCCCTTCATAAATTGCATCCAAGATCCTCCAACTTTCGGCACCTGTGCAGTTGGTCCCCAACTTCACAATTGTTGTACACTTTTAGTCCTTGTTTCTCATTTTGCCTTGTTCTCTTTCCTTAGGTGATTTATTTGCCTACAAAAGCAAATATTACATAATTGTGAATAGAAATTCGTCCATTTTAATCAATAATAAGTATATTTAAGTATTAAATAAGTGTGCAGAAACACACTTATCACAGACCATAGAATTTGGGAGTTTTACTCATCAAATTGATCCTTATGCCCTTATTTGAAAATTATCTACCCCAAAATCTGGATACAAAATACTGGAGCGCGCATGCGCGGCTATGGGCTTCAAGAACATTGCAACTGGCAAGTTTTCTTCATTCATTTCCCCTCGCTCCTGCTGCTGATCCAGTAGTGTTGCTACTCTTGTGGCCACTTGTCCAATTGGTTGAATATGAATATTTTGATCGTTAGTCATTTGATGTGACTATTTTTGTTTGTGTTCCTTGCATTTTTGTCTGAAAGTACGTTATATTTTCAAGTCATTCGGTTCAAAATCGTCGCCTTAGGTATGGAGTATACAACGAACACTTATTTCAATAAATAAAAGAAAATAAACATATCAAATTACAGTTAAAAAATAAAATAAATTAAGACTAAAGTAAATAGTCCCCAGTAGCGGCGCCAAAAACTTGTTGTGTTTTTTATATCGCAAGTGTACAACATCATAACAAGCAGTTTAATGGACCTTTGAATTCGGATATCGTTTCCATGAGAACTACAATTCATGACTTAATTTAAATTTTCTAATTCCTCGTTAATAAAACCAAGTAAAGAATTATGACATTTGTGATTTTTTTTTTTTCTAACCACTTTTAACTACTTGAAAATATTAAACTTTTGCAAACGGTTGATTGGAAATTCAAATATGAGATAAATATCAGGGCATAAAAATTTCATATATTGATCACCTTAATTTTTAATTCAAGATTCATAACCTAATGTAGTGTTCGATCGAATTCTTTTATTATATTCAATTTATCACTCTCGAGTTCTCATTGAGCCTATGTAACTTATTCGATTACATATCTCTATGTGCATCAACTTTAGTTAAATGAAATATTAGTTCTGAGAATTCATATTATGACCACAATACTTAGTATATGTATCTCTACACATTATACTAATTTATCGAATTTTATTATATGGTTTAAATCACAAACTCACATCTCGAGTCGTAAGAGACTCACATAATCATCAAATTAGTAATCAATTAATTCAATATATTAAACTCGTAGTAAAACCAACACATATATGAATAAATCACATAAATTTTGAATAAAATAAAAAATCACAAGTCTATTACATTGTTTGCCCTAATATTTAAATTAGTCATAATGTAAAAATAAACACAAGAAATTGTTTTTGAATACATCACAGATTTATTCGAAGAAATCCTCTTTGCAGCCCTTTTTTTGTATATATATATATATATATATATATATATATATATA